TTATATATTTATATATAAAATACGTATTTGCATTTTGTTTAGATTTCATATTTCATATTTTCTTCTCTCTCCCTCTCTCTCTCTCTTTCTCTGCTTAAATTTGGAATTGTAAGCAAATGTTTTCCATTCAGTGCTAACGAAAGTCAAATAAGGCAACTTGAATCTAATTGTTTATGTATTTTTTTATGTATATATATGCATATATATGTATGTGTGTATGTTTACTTTCATGCATAACTGTACTTGATATTTACAACTAAGCGCGCCTCAAACTCAAAACAAAGTTAAATTAAATGCATTTTCATTTTCATTTTCATTTTCATTTTCATTTTCGGTTCATTCGAAATTCAAATTAGTTTTATTAACAATTCTGGCTGCCTCTGAATGTCCGTTATTTTTTTTTCTTTCTTTTTTATATAAAATATTTATCAAAAATAATATGCAGTGTTTTATTAGATTTTCTGCTTACTGCCAATTGTTGAGATCTTCTTTTATTTCATAGCGCGAAATGAGTTTTAAATTTTGAGTGAGTTTTTGTTTCTGTGTGTGTGTGTGTGTTTTCTTGTGTTGTTGTTATTTGGGCCCGCCTGGCTATGTACAATCTAATAATAATACCGTTATGTATGCTTGTGCTGCTGTTAGGTAACGTCTGTCCACTTCGGTTCGGGTTTGCTTCTCTTCTTCTCTTGATCTTAAATTCTACTTGTTGTTTGTTGTTTTATATTGCACTTTAATTTACAGTTTTTGTTTTTTGTTTTTTTTTTTTTGGGGGGAGTGGGACCAACCCCGCCCTGGCTCTACGTGCACTTAATGATCATCGGCTGGCTGGAGGACTCGATGACCGAGGGCCGGTTCTCCTGCGTCTGAACATGCGCTCCGTGCAGGTAGCCCGAGTCGGGCAGCGGCTTCAGCGACTTGGGCGAGTGCTGCGCCAGATGATGCGCTGCTCCCAGATGTTGCTGCTGCTGCTGCTGTTGCTGCTGTTGCTGCTGCTGCTGCTGATGTGTGGGCGGCTGTCGGTTGGGCGAGGCCTGCGGCGGCTGCTGTTGCTGCTGCTGCATGTGGTGGGGCGCTGTGGGCGGCGGCAGCTGATTGGCCGTGGTCAGCAGCATGGGCGGCCCGCTGTGCGGCGAGTGCTGCGGCAACATCAGGTGACCTGGCGGCGCATTGCTTGGCTGATGGGGCTGGTGTCCCTGCAGCTGCTGCATATGCATGTGCGGCTGTCCGTTGCTGCCCAATGGAATGAGACGCGGCGGCGACTGAGCGCCAGTCAAGTGACGCAGGCTCGGATGCACTGGATGCATGTGCTGCTGCAGCTGCTCGTAGGCCTCCCGCGAGTCCGGCTCGGGCAAGTCCTTGTCTGCAAAGTGAAAGCCCGTATGAGCAGCTATCACAGTGAAACCTCTAAGAGCTGAACTTACCCAGACACTCGGATGTGGCTGCCGCCGCCATGGCCAGCTCCTCCTCCAGATTGTTGGGCTTGCAGCTGGTGGTCTTCCAGTGCGTGCGCAGGCCGGAGGCGCTGATGTACTTCTTATCACAGCCCTGGCACACATAAGGCCGGTCGTTGGTGTGCAGGCGCTTGTGCAGCTTCAGGTGGACAAACTGCGTGAACTTCTGCGGGCAGAGATCGCAGGCGTAGGGCTTCTGGCCGCTGTGCAGGCGCAGATGCGTCTTCAGATTGGATGTGCTCGAGAAGCGCTTCTTGCAGATGTCGCACTGGTGCGGCTTCTCGCCCGTGTGCACCAGGTGGTGCTTCTGCAGGTGCGCCAGCTGGGTGAAGCTCTTCGTGCAGACGTTGCACTTGAAGGGCCGCTCGCCGGAGTGGGTGCGCAGATGCACCTTGAGATTGCTCAGCTGGCCGAAGGTCTTGCAGCAGACATTGCACTCGTAGTGCATCTTCCCATCCTTCTTCTTCAGCGGATACGGCAGCGAGCGATAGCCACGCGAGGCCAACGAATTGGGACTCAGCGGGCTGCCGCTGCGCGGACACGAGTTGCCGTCGGGGCTGAGGCTGCTGGGCGGCGAGATGCGCAGCGGGGAGAGGCGCTGCAGCGGCGTCAGCGGCTGCATCAGCGGATGGTTCAGCATCTGGGTGCTGCTCTGCAGCAGATGCAAATTGGAGGCGGAGCCGCCGCCACTGGACGCATTCGACTGGCGATCGAAGGGCGAGTGCGAGCTGTGCGGCGGCGAGTGGAACGTGGAGGTGGCCGCATGCAGCGACTGCGCGCCCGGATAGCCCGCATAGCCCGCATAGTTGGGCGAGTGGCTGCCCGGCTCGTAGGCGGCGTGATGGGACCTCGAGGGCGAGTAGATGACATTGTGGTGCAGATGCGAGGCGGCAGGCGGCGGCGAGCACTCGCCCTTGATCAGGGTGCCGCGACTCAGGACCAGCTCCTGCTCGCTCACAGCATGGCCGCCGGCCAGCTCCTGGGGCTGGCCCAGATTCGAGCTGGAGTCGGGACTCACCGCGTTGCCGTAGCGCTGCGACTTCTTGTAGCTGTAGGCCATCTCCGTGGGCGAAGTGGGCGGCGGCGTGGCTGCATTCGCCTGCCGGCAGGCGTTCGCTGCCGCGGCAGCTGCCTCTAGGCGATGCTGGCTGGTCAGAATGGTCTCCAGTATGCTGGAGCTGGGCTGCGTGAAGCGCACATAGCGTTCCCCGGGCGGATCGGCCTCGTAGTAGGGCTTGCTCAGCGGCACAATGGTGCGCGCCTGGCCGCCGGAATTGTGCTCCAGCACAATGACCGTCGAGGAGGCGGGCTGGGTGTTGGTTGGCTCCAGGTGCTGCAGGTGCTGCTCCTCGCCCAGCGTTGTGGTCGTGCTGGGCGGGCAGAGCGAGTCCTCGGAGTGCACGGCCGCCGCTGCGTGCAGCTCGTGCAGCTCCTCCTCCTCCAGGCTGACGCCAGCTAGTGGCAGATGCTCGTCCACATCCTTCAACGGCTCCGTTTTGACGCAGCTCTTGTTCTTGAACTCGTACTTCAGCGGCATCTTCACCTTGAATTTGCGGTACTCGTTCTTGTCCGCCTCACAGCTGGGCGTGACGGCGGTGGGCGTGGTGGCGGGCGGCGTCGCACTGCTGGGCTTCTGCGCCTGCGCAATGACCGTCTCCTTGGGCGCAATGGCCTTCTTGGAGCAGTCCAGCACATAGTTGTGCTCGCTCTCGCTGTCGCTGGAGTCCTCCGGCGGCGTCAGGCCATCCTCCTGGCACTCGTTGCTGTGGTAGCCCTCATCGGAGCGCACCGAGCGCACGCTGCCATCCTGTGGCGTCAACTGATGCTCGTAGTGGGCATCCTTGACGCACAGTGGAGATCCCATGGCTTCCTTGTCGCAGCTGCTGTTCAGCGGCGAGCGATCCTGGCCAATGATGACGGACGCGTGCCGGCTGTGCTGTATGTGCGGATGCAGCGCTCCATTGTGGTTGCTGCTGCTGCTGTTGTTGTTGTTGTTGCTGGTGGTGGTGGTGCTGACATGGGCCGGCGGACTGCCACGACGACAGCACTGGGCGGCAACGGGCGCGGGGGCAACTGCTGCTGGAGCTGACGCCGGCGCTGGCGCTGGCGCACCCGGCAAATGCAGACCCATCACATAGGTGATGTGGCTGACAGCCACCTCGGCGGGTATTTCGGGTGCGGCCATGGCGTAATGGGGCTTCTTGTGCGGCAGCTCATCGTCCTCCTCCTCCTCGACATCGACGTCCTGCTTGCAGGCGCCGAATATGGTGCGCTCCGGGTCCACATCGTAGCCCAGGCGGCTGGCAAAGTCCTTGCAGTACCAGACCATCAGCTCCTCGTTGGGCAGTATGTCGCGGGTGGTATAGAAATAGATGTTCTCCTGGTGCTGGCACGCGACCAGGTTCATCACCGACAAGCTGTAGGCCGAGGCCACATATCGCATCCAGTTCGACTGCGAACGATCTGAGCCATCCAGATAATAATAATCATCATCCTTGAAGATCTGCATAGAGATAGCAGGGGAGAGAGAGAGGGAAGAGTTGATTGGTTAAGAACATTCACAACAGGAAGCGACAAACACAGAAAGCGAACTACAAAAGAGAGCAAATGCAGCGCCTGCACAGGCACAGAGAGAGAGAGAGAGAGAGAGAGATAGACAGAGAGAGGGTGCAGTTAGAGTGTGAAAGTTAGAGAGAGATAGAGATAGAGAGTGCGTTTGATGGTTAAGAGTCACAAATAAAACAAAGCATAAAGTGGTACCTTAATATTCCCGTAGGTTATGTGGCGTGTTCCCTGCACCTGATTCAAATTCAAATTCAAATCCGCAACAAAATGCAAAATTGTAATTTGGAATTTATGTTTTGGTAGTTTTTGGTATTTGGTTTTTGGTTGTTGGTTGATTATAATTGTATAGATTTGTATAGTAATTGGGGTTTATGCACATGAAATTAAAAATTCAGAGAAACCAGTTGGTTAGTGGCTTAGTTTTGGCTCGTTTGATGATCATTTTGTTCTTATAAATAAAGTAGGTGGCAAAATGCAGCAAAGCAATGGCAATGGTTATTCAAAACAACATTTGTGAAATGATAAATATTAACTTAAATAAAAAGAACCATGTAAAGCCCATTTGAAGTAGATTTTGGATGCTTACCCGCCAGAAATAGCGCGCCTTGTTCTTATCGTTCGGATAGTTGGAGGTTGGAATGCCTTCGAAAGGGCCAAAGCGTGTGCCACGCGGTATGACGCCGCTGCTCCAAACTCCTTCAGTCTGTGAAGGCGAGAGACAGGGAGAGAGAGAGAGAGTGGCAAGAGGTACAGTTAGTTATGCTATTACTCTCAGTTATCTCAGCTTTTGCTCACCTTGACATTTGGCGTTGAGTAGACCATGGAGGACTTGAGCGTCAGGCTGCGCGGCAGCGTCTTGTCCGCTCGATTGGGCAGCCCGCGCTCCGCTTGCACATCGGGCACCAGATAGACGGCCAGACGCTCAAAGTCCTCCTCGCGCATGCGCGTCACATCATAGTCCTGCGTGCCGTCCGGCGTGGGGCTGCGGCTGCGACTGCGCGAGCGTCGCAGCAGCTTGGCGTGATGATGCGGATGATGTTGTGGATGTTGTGGATGCTGTGGATGTTGTGGATGCTGTTGCTGTATGGCTATGTGTGTTTGTTGCTGCTGTGGCTGCTGCTGCTGCTGTGGATGTGGAGCCAGCTTCATTGTGGCAGACATTTGTTGCAGCTGCTGCGGCACCTGCTGCTGCTGCTGCTGTTGCTGCTGTTGCTGCTGCTGTTGCTGGAGATGATTATGTCCATGCATTTTGAATATACAGCTAACTGTGGTTGTAGAATGCTTCTTAATGCTAGGCTTAAGTGCGCTTTTGTGTTGTTGTAGTGCTTAGGCTGCTAGCTGTTGTTGTATTTAAAGTTTCACTTGATCTGCAAAGAGAGCGGGTGCAAGAAAGAGACAGAAAATAGAGCTTTAGTACGGCGCTGTGGATGACTGTTTCACTTTTCACTGTTCCCTTTTTTTTCCTTTTTGCCAGTGCTATTAATAAATGCGTCACATACATAGTTAGAGAAATACGCACACACATACATACATATTTACAAACACACACACATTCATACGCTCAAATCTATTAGGCAGTGCGACAGGCAAAGCTTCGCCCACTCACTCAGAACTACACTCGAAAATTTCACTCTACGTGTGTGTGTGTGTGTGTCTGCATGTGTGTGTGCTTGCAATATTGCATTCGTATTTCAATGGCGTCGTCGTCGTCGTCGTTGTTATCGGGAAAAAATAGCGGCAAAAGCGTTAACGACGGAGCGTCGACTGGCTACGATTCGTTCGCTGTCGTCGCTGTCGCCGCTGTCGTTTATGTGTGTGTGTGTGTTTGCATAGTTCAAGATTGCGGCCTTAATGGAGGTTATGCGTTCACGTTCAGGGGCATTCAGAGGCAAATCTCTTCCCACTTCAATTGACAGCAAGCGACACCAGGAGAATACATCAATTCCATTCCAAATTGGAAAACCCATTCAGTATTTGGTACACTCACGTGAGGCTGTTGGGTTTTATATTTGGCCAACGTCTTGTTTGTACTTTCGTTTTGTTTTGCTTATCGTCGCTCATTAATGACAGCTACTTTGCTCTCAAAATATATAGATATATATATATACAGATTGTTAATTAATATATTCCTGTTAATTGAGCCGCTCGAATTCTTTATATAATTTTTTTTTTTAATGTTGCTCCTCTCTCTCTCTCTGTCGCGCACACAGAATAATTTGAAATTTTGTATTGCTTCTTATTTTATTTCATTTTTATTTTTGATTTTGACTTTTCGTGCTGGCAAATTACGCATCACTTTCTGTTTCGTTGCTGGCTTTCGTGCTCGATATATTACGCATACGCCGCGTTGCCCAGCCGAACACTTTCATTGCTGCCTACCAGCATATTTGCAGCAATTTCTGTTTGTCATCACGATTTAATTATATTATTTTGTTCTCAGAAATATTCAACAACTGTTACAGATTTCATTGCTGAAGTTTTGCGTACCGGCGGCAAATAAAAATAAGCAAATAACACCGTTGGCGAGAACAACCGACCGACCGCACCGCATACCCGATTGCACTGAAACCACCTCACGGCAGCGACATCAGCAAATTTGTGTGTCTTCCCGTTGGATTCTCGGGCCCGCTCGCAAAATTACAAATTGCGCTCACAAATGCAACTATGCGGAAATGTATGGAAGCAGCTAGAGCGGTAGGGGGGGGGGGGAGGCAGGGCGGCTGGGCGGCAGAGCGGCGAGCAAACAACAAGAGCAACAAAATCAAAAACAATAATAATAAAATACAACTAAAAATTATTAAACTAATGTCGTGCAAAAGTCTTTAGAATGAACGCTCTGCCCATCCACACAGACGCGAACCGAGTGTTCCTACTACTGACCCACATATACACAATATACTCGCACATGCAGCCGGCACAGGCGCCATGCTCAAAGCTCACTCTTCCGCTGCCACTGCCGCTGCACTCAGTCAAATGAGAGGCCGCCCGGCAATGCACTCACTCAGCGGCTGCAGCGGCGCCAACGCAGCCGAAAACAAAGTTTTTCGCTCAAGCTTGTTCAAGGGTTGCGCTTTTGAGTGCCATGCAAAGCAAAAGCTTTCGCAGTGGCAGTGGCGAATTCGTTTCGACTGCATTTCGCCGGGACTGTCGCTGCTGCTGCCACTGTTGTTGTTGTTGTTGTTGCTGCTGCTTTCCCAACGTTAGTTGCCAACGTCTAACGTTTATTTGCTGTCTCTTCTTTGCGTGGTTTGCTGCTGTTCTTGCTGTTGTTGTTGTTGTTGGCATTGTTTTGGCATTGGTTTTGCTGCGCCGCTGCGCAATCATAAATATATTGTGCTAGGCTAGACTAGAGGAATTCACGACGCCAGCTTCCCATATTGATGAGCCGCATATTTTTGAGTTGTCAATTGAATGTCAGCGGCAGACAAAGCCACAGAAATAGAATTCCTGATATCCAATTGTGTGGCAGGCTTTGTGTCAATCAAACATATGAAAACTAATGAAAAGCTTTCGAGAATTTGGAAAAACAACTCCTAGGAATTTTCTAAGATTTTTGTTCAAATTCAATTTAGAACTAATCTCAATTGATTTGATTGACATTGGTCAACTCAAAGTTTCAATTTCTCTCAACAGTGTTTAATTTACTCTTACACAGCTATAAGCTACATAAAGAAGGCGGAATTCTCTTCCTTGCTTTGCAGTTAGAGTGCTATCAGACAGTGCATTTGGCTGCCTTTGATAAGAGCTCGCTGTTTGCAGAGCACTCAAAATGTGTGTAATCATAATCATATATATAAATTTTTGTAATAATCATCAGCACTCACCCCAGAGTTGTATTGACATTGCTTCAATTTATGATATTCGTCTAATTTTGTTCAGTTACTTTTCTGCTATCTTTTTGGTTCTTTTGCCGTAACCAAATCTGTGAGCTACACGCACGTAGAATGCGAACTGCGGCGACGTGCAGCATAAATGAGAACTTTTTGCCCAGACTTTGGCAAATGGCAATGGCGGCAACAACACGGATGCATACAGGCACGGCTACAGATACTGTATGCATGCATGCATGTGTGTGTGTGTCTGTGTTTTGCCGCCTTGTTGCACTTGCACTTGCAATTGCAATAGCAATAGCAATTGCAAAATTGCACTTCGATTCTATTTTGATGAGTGCGGAAATGTGCGAACACTTTTGGCTAGCTGTGCGTGTGTTTGTGTGTGTGTGTGTCTGTGGGAGTATGGATTTAGATGTGTGCGTGCAGCTTGGCAACTGGGCGCCAGCTGAGCAATACCGACAGTTGCTCTCATTTTTCTTTCAACACTTCTATTATTCTCGTCTTATTTTAGGTACTTTCGATTTTGTATTTTGGCCCGGCTAAAAGGGTTTTTTCTTTCTATAGCCAACTTTCGCTGAAAGGCAAACCAAAATTGGATAATGCCAAAGCATTCGAACGTGTCTTAACATAGAACAGATGCGTTCAGCCCCCTAGGAAATCATTGCACATCTATATTCTATATAAACACTCGTATGGTAGTAGTTGTGCATGTGTGTGTATGTGTGTGTGTGCAGATAGTGCGCCAAAAGCTTTACGCTATCGCTATGAAAATGAAAATAAACAGCTGCACACACACACACACACACACACATACATACAGAGACACCTACTCATATACGTATGTATTTATAAAGAGTTGCCTGCATTAGAAACAAAAAGTAGACAGCTCAACGCTTTGCGTTTCTAATCATCGCACAATTGCATTTGAAGGACACGAGAGCACTGAGCACGTTAGGGCAGCTCGGCAGGGGCTGCCGGGGCGTGGCCAGCGCGAATTGTATGAAAAATTTACTTAGAGTGGCGCAGCAAATTAAAAATAAATAAGTGGCACACACACACATACCCATACACACAGACACAGTGTCACGAACGCATTTCGTGCTCAAGTTCGAAGACGAAGCAATTTATACCCTTTAGTTGCTGAGAGAATTGAGCAGAGAAATGTATAAGAAATTTAAGTGAAATATTTTAAATATTGAAATTAGGAAGAACCTGAATTAAATCTCATAAAAATATACATAATTAATATAAAATATTTTCTATTTTCTTTTTGCCCTGTTACATGTTCATTGCACTCATTAATATACCCCATTTGCATTTAGTTTTTTTGTGTTGAGTGAACCTTTAGAAAATTGTCAACGGCAACGCTTCGCTTGCCTGCATTGAGTTTAACATTCAACTTGAACGCAGGCGACCCGCTGGCGTTGCCAACGTCATCGTCATCGGCAGCGTCTCCGAGTGCATTTGAATTTTGATAAGCTTTGCACATTGCGCATACGCCGTGTGCGCTGCGGCCGACAATGCTCTAATACACATTGCATATATATGTACTTATAATGGGTATATACTATATATATTTGTGTATGCATTTCTATATGTATGAATTGTCGTCCAAGCATTGATGCAGTGCTCATAATAATTTTGTTATTCTAGACTGTGAAAAACTTCCGCAACGCCGTCAACGCTGCTGCATCGATCTTTATCAAATTGCAATGGGGAAGCGTTGCAAAACGAACGAAACAAAATGCAACAACATCAACAAAAACAATAACAATAAAAACCAAATGGCGATATTTCGATTCAAGGACAAGTGCGCGATAGGCAACGCAAACTGTACTAACCGCAGCCCCATATACTACCTATATATGTATATACATTTATATATATGCTGATAAGTGCAACAAATGCCATAAAATGTCCGCTCCTAAATAACATGTATGTACACCTATTGCCATCTCGCTCACACCAGCTGGGGGCGTCAGGGCTCAGCGGGTGGCCTTGCGTCTATTGCACTATCTAGGAAATCTACGCATATCGACGTTAAGTAGTCTCAATGAATAAACAAATTTTACGATGTATTTATAAGTGCAATGCAAATATTTGTTTACTTAGGGGTGTGGCCGCTGGGCAGGGTATTGCGTTCTTTTTTTTTTTTTTTTTTTTTTTGCTTCACAAGACTCTTCTCTACTGTGGCGGAATATCTAATATTCCACGATGAGTCAGCTGCAAAGGGTGCGCTAATCAATTGATGTGTGAACAGTAGCTCGGACAAGCTAGTAAAAACCTTATATAGTACTTGGGCAGAAGAGAGCAAACAAATAAGAGATAAGTAGCTCAGATTAGACAACTATGAGGAAGAGCAGTGAGTGTGTGTGTGTGTGAGTGTGAGGAATAGGCACTTGAGGGCAATGTGAAAGGCAGTAATGTGTGTGAGAGAGAGAGGGAGAGAGATGAAACTAGAGGGAACTATCGCTCTAATACTTCAATGAGGTATTAAGAAGACCTTGAATTAGAGCAAATCTTTACGATGATCTGTAATGATAATGAGAGCTATTAGCTGTTATCAGTTATTTTATTTCTATCTCTCTCTATAACTAATATGAATAAATGAATTTTTCTAGATAACCTCTTGATCTCAATTAACAACTAGTTCTGACAGCTGTCAAGAGTCTGAAACATTTGTATAAGCGCATTTAATTTCTATTCAATATTTTATTTAGTTATTCAGCATACAAAACAAAACGATGATAAATGTGATATTTAAAAATGTTCTATTAACTGCGTGTGGCATAAATTATGATTATAAATTATGCATCTCGACTGCAACGACACAGAGAAAGAGATAGAGAGAGAGAGAGAGAGGGAGAGAGAGAGCAAAAACCAATTTGCTAGCAAATATAATGCTGCGAAATATTTAACGGGCGTGCAACAACCCGGAAATGTAAATACTAATAGTGCGCTAGAGAAATAAACGCAGCAACAGCAGCAGCAACAACAATAAATCCGCGACAAATATCTGACAGAACTGTTGTAGCTGTTGAGCATTCGCATTTATTTTATGTGCATGCAAAAGCGAAACGAAAACACGACAAAGGGTTAGCAGAGGAGGCG